TGTAAATGCGATGAAGTGAAAGTGTCTATATTTGCTCTGATTACAAACAATCATGGTCTAAGAAATCATAATCAACAGAGATACCATTAATGATTTCTCTTGTATTAACAATGTAATTGAATGATACTTTCTTTCTTTGTTGATGATGTTTTAAGTCAGAAATGCATAAATAATCTTCATCTTCTTCTTCTTCCTTATGACCCTTCTTTAAGATGGATTTCAAATTCCAGTTGTAATCATCTTCTTCATCTTCATCGTAGTATGATGAACTACTTGAGATAGTACTATTCTTACGTGAAGATGCTGAGAATTCATCATCATCATTAAATGTACTATTGATAGATGATTCAGATACAAGTGATGACACTGACATGTTATCTTCTTCTTCTTGACATGAGTATATGCTGGTAGTTTGCTTTGGTTGTTCTGGTTGTTGTTGTTCTTGTTCTTCAGATGCTATCTTAGGTCCAAATAACCACGTGATATCTGAGTTCTTATCCCAATTAATAACGTAGGGATTGATTTCTGATAATTGATGAAAGTTCTTGGAAAATCTTCTCCAACAAATGTTTGATAAACGTTGGTATAAGAATGCATTATGTAATTTATAGTCGGGATTGTTATTGATGTATTTCATGAATTTAATCAAGTTAATATTATCATGTAAATAATGTTTAGTATTGGTGTTTGGTACATATTCTAAATAATCAATGTTTTCTCGGAAAGTAGGTATTTGCTGGGATGATGGCCCTACAACCATATCGTCGTAGTAGTACATGGTAGTAATGTTATATAAATGCTAAGGTGTATAAAAGATACTTGATGAATAAAAGAAGAATCTAGGAAGTTTAAAAAAATTTTGAATTTGGGGGCAAGGTTGCAAGATATAAATATTCGTGAAATGAATTTAATTTTTTTTTTTTTTTAATTATTTTAAAATTCCGCCAAAAAGGAAAAAGAAAAAAAATAATAAAATATTAATTTGTGCCATTCAGGATAAACCTATTATGCAACATTGTAACCTGTAAAAAAACTCTACTCTGATAAAAAATATTTTTTCTTTTCAAATATTTTTATGTGACATTTTTTTATTTAATGGGGGGGTCACTTGCAGACAGACAGACATTTTTTTGGAAATCTGCTACTTTACTAGAAGTAGGAATATTTTTATTGTTAAATATTCCGAACAATATTACACAATGAAATTTTCCCTTCCATCCCCCGTATGATTTTCTCAATTATTTCATGGGCTTAGATTTATGATCTTGTGACGCTTTTGAAATTTTGCTTACTTCCAAGAGTTTTTATTCAAAGTAATCATACGGTATATCTTGCCTCCGCCACTATGACTGACCTTTCTAAAACATGATAGAGTGTTGAATTTATTTTTTCTTATCAAAGGCGGACCATATTCCGAAACCATTGGATTCTCCTTCCCCGTTCATGTTGTAATGACCTGAAAAAGGACGCGCCCGTAAAATCAGCTCAGCTTCTCATTTTTTCTTTATTGGCAATATTCATTTCCTACCCCCTTTCGTGTTGCAATTTTACATACAAAACGTGCAAATGAGTTTCGTGATGATGAGTGATAAGAAAAATAGAATGAGAGCATTGCGATATTACAATTTTCTTGGGGTTAGCCACTTTTGAAAGCTGCCTTCATTGCAAAATTTCTTGATCGTGCATAGATTTGCAGGAATTGGTACAAGAACCACCTTCTTACACATATCATTACTGATGTTCTGAGTGGGGCATTCGCCCCAAAATCTATGAATGTTACCCAATGTTTCCAAATCTTGAAAGCGAGTTCCTGTCGCGTGGAGTATAGTATTATTATATGCAACCTCAATAAAGTCACCATCAAAGTGATGGATCATTCAATGGAGAATGGCTTCTCTCTTATATGTAACATCACCGGCTCTCCTTCTTTCTTCATTGAGGCTCTGATAAGACCATCCCCCCTTTCAATGAAATGAAGATGGGTCTTGCGATATGTGCATGGTTACTGTACTTGCTGCAATACTTGCAATTCTGGTTGATGTGCTCTGGTGATTCTTATTTACTGCACCACAAGAAATAAGGTATTCGTGTATCTAATCTCCGAATAAGCGAATCAATCTAAATAAAAGTTTAATTTATGGCGGTTATAAATTTATCCCCCCTTGATTAGTAATTCGTATCTGTTATCTAGAGTGTGAGAATCTGAAACTTCAAATAGTACACATGCTTGTATCTACAGCATATCATCTCTCATGAAAACGAAGAAATTTGCAACCGTCTTCCCTGTGAGACTTTTTTTTTGGTACTGTATCTTGTGAGAGAATTTGTGAGAAATTAAACACAAAAAATATCCTCCTCGGTTTGTATTTCCAAAACTGGTCGATATTGGATTGCCGCAAATAGCGGAAATCCAAATTTCTTCTGGGCTTTAGCAACAAGAAAAACAACAAACAATCATCAAGACTCCCTTAAGCCCAATTACTACACATGCATCTAGACTTCTTCTAGTTTGTTTCAAATTAGGCTTACAAATCAATAGCCTTTTATTCGGGAACTTTTTCCAAGCCAGGGTATGTAAACTTTATTTCCCGAGTCTACCCGTCGGTATAAAAATATTTCTTAGCTCCTCGGGATTTTTCTTGTTTATATACATTTTTCAAATCCCGAGGCTATACATTTAAGAGGGATATTTTCTTTACCGCTAATGAGTGACTAACACGATGACGGATAAGTTTTAAAGCGCGCGGGAACTCGGCCACTTTCGAAATGCTCTTCAAGAACTTAAACAAGGAAATCTCCGAATTCGCAGAATTGTAAATTGCCATCTGACGCTTGTGACACACACCTGTCTCCAATTTAATTACTCTGACTCGTTCCCCACGTTAGACTTTGCGTCATGAAATTAGCAATTCGAGGATTTGTCTCAATGCTGCGATATCAGTTTCAAATGATGTTGCTGACTTTGGCAAAAAAGTGTCTGATTCAAGGGATGCTCATTCGGTATGGCCTTTGTCTCTCCCCGGAATTTTCCATTAGCTTTAAGCTTATTAAACTTGGCTTTTACATGTTAGCTCTTCCTTTGAATATAGATGTGAAAATTTTTTATTTTTGAACGACAACAATAATGCCGCACAGAACAATACGTCTGACCTATTAGAATCAGGGTAAAAAATATTTTTATTCTAAAGTCCAGAAAAATATTTTTTTTTATTTGTTCTTATGTCCACGCGACCGTTGACTCTCCTTAACAGCGCCGTTCAAATTCAATTGCAAAAAGAGTGTTTACTGTCGTGTACAAAGAAAAAGCAATAAAAGTATTAAGAAGACAGCCGGGTTGTGTGGAGTTGATACCTTTTCGTAATTCGAATAGGCATATAATACGGTCTCATGCGTTTTGCGGTTTACTCGCTTGGCGTTGTCCTGCGTTTCAATCCGGGCACAAATCCATTTTTGGTCCGTCCGTTTTTAGATTTCCTTGAACAATATGTTTGTGGTTCTTTAAACAAAGGGAAGGTTTTTCCAGTCTTTCAAATTGCATATATTGTATCGATGTTACGTTGCATTAAATACCAATGGACACTCAAGTTATCACAAAAAGCTAACTCAATATAATACTGTTTGGGAAAGAGAAAGAGAGAGAACAAAATTTATTTTTTTTTGGTCTGTAAACTACCTTCCGATTGTTTGGTCGGAAAAACTTGAATTTTAGTTCCGGCAAACAATACCGAAAAAATCAAACGGTACATAAAAAATACAATTGAAGCACTTCCGCATGGATCGGATTGATTTACCTTCCGGGAGGTATATAATATTTAGAAAATCTATTTATAAGACGGAAGAGATGATCCCCGTTTCTGTTTGTTAGTTTAAAGAATCAAGTCATTCTTTTTCTATGAGTGGCAGGAATGTCAGTCTTTTCGCATGAGTGACCATAATGTCAGTCTTTTGTATGAGTGGCCATAATGTCAGGCATGGGAAGCATCATAATACTAAGATTATTAAGGAGCCACATGGTACGCTTTAAAAAAGTCAGCACTCTGTCTTCGACTCGTA